TCAACTTACAAAATTTATTTATTTGGAATGTTGGAGGGAAAGGTATTTGCATACAAATTTTAGTATGTTTAGATTACCCATTTTTATGCTGCAAGCTTTAAAAAATATTATTGTGTAATAATATTATTCTTTAAAAACTTTTTTTTACAGTATGATGGAGTAACAGAAACACAAAATAGAGAGTGAAACATGACATTTGCCAAATGTAATAGTGAAAGCGCAGGAGAAGTAAGAACAATTTTTCAAATGTATATTCCTATGATTGAAACGACATCGGCTGTATTGAATTTGGTAAAATAAGAATAAAGAAAGTTATATTCCAATAAAATAACATACTTCAATAATAAATTGTATCATTTTTTGTAATAATTCGTGAAGAAAGGTACATGCCTTTTCTTGTTGAAGAAAATGGAGAATTTATGGGCCATTTCCTATTGTAAAAAGCCACTACAGACAATATATATATACGAACACATTATATTGTTACGCACGTAAGTTTGAAAAGGAAATTTTCTAAATTGAAAAAAGTTTGGGAACTTTTTATTCTTCTGATATTGTTTCTATATTGAGCATATTGAGAGAACTAAAGAGGATTTTAGGTAGAATATTTATTAAAAAATTTCTAAATAAAAAAAAAAAAAAAAAAAAAAAAAAAAAAAAAAAAAAAAACTGAATTCCATTGAATTTTTTTAGTTTGAAGGTTTAACTTTGTTCTCAGTGTTTATATGAAGTGCTTCGATTTTTTTTGGGAATAGCTTTGATGAAATTAAATATGTTTGGATGTAGAGGAATTATCATTTTTATTTTGATATATTCTTAGAAAGATCAAACTGTTATCTGTATTATATTTTTAGCAAGAAATTTTAAGTTATACCTATTATGTAATTTTATAGATAATGACAAACTATGTTTTTCTTTGAATTGTACATAATTTTTTCTCAGTTGAAAAGAATATACTGTAAAATCCGGGTAAAACGCGCACTTTTAACAAAAAAAAAAATGAATTCGAAATTCATATATTGAAATATTGTTTATTTAAAAGAAATAAACTTAAAAGGTTGTAGTTCTAGAAATATACAATTAAAAAAAAAAACTTGGGATAATACCTTGAATAGCTGACTTTGAAACATAAGAGCATTACACACGTACATTTCAGGTTTCTTCGTAAAAAAAGGGGTGGGGGGCGTTTTCCGGCGAATATATCTTAAAATTAAAAAATGCAACTTGAAAGTCAAGGGGCGCGTTATGCGCGGATTTTATGGTACCTATTTTGAGTGAAAACAAGTTTTTACTTATGAAGTTCTCTCTTTCTGTTCTTTTCATTATTCTTGAACACTTAATATTACTTTTTGGAAATAAAAAATATTTTTCGTTTACTAAACAATATCTTGATATGATTGATATATTTGATATGATTAATACCAATGTGTTTATTTTTATAGGGGAAAAGATTCCTTAAGATCTTTTATGAACTATATTCGATCTAACCATCTTTTCAACAATATGAAAAAAAAATGACAGAATCGTTTGCCATATTGAAGCTTTTTCAGACGGAAGATTTCATGTCCAGAATCGTCTGTCAAAGGTTACCGATTAGTTGCCCTTTAGTCGCGTCTAATGATGACTCACGTGACGCAAACGATTAACGGTAATGCGCCTTTTTCGTAAAGCGTACCAAACAAGTTGAAAGCCGATCTTCCTTGATTTAATGGTCCCGAAAACATCGTCTTCGATGAAAATTAACCTCTAAAAGTGAATCGATTTGTGAACCCCTCCCATTCATCGTGACGTCACGTTCTCATTTCCACGCCTGTCAGAGGTCTCATCTCGAAGTCAAACTTGGGGTAGTTTTGGGCAATTCCCTCCCTTGGAATCGATGCAGTAGGTCAGCTATTCTTGGCAAACCAATGATCTTGAAAGGAAGGGAAAGTTTGGTAATGACCGAAGTGGAAGGAATTGAATTAGGTCGTAGTTCCACAAGGACAAGCGATGGACCGTTTTATTGAATTAAAAATATACCGAATTGGGTTTTTGAAGATAGAAAAGATTTTATTGAAATGGATACATATAATACTTTGGATTACTTCCTGATGTTATTAATTATGACTTCAAAAAGAGAACAAAATGCTGTGGAAAAACCTTGGAGCATTTTATTTTTCAAATTTTGACGTAAATGCAGTAATAAATGGTGGTTAAACATTTCAATTGTGTGGACATAGAAACATCAAACATTTTAAGAACTTAAAGGAACTAGTGAACGATAAATTATTATTTCTTTAAAAATGCAATTTCGTTAAGATTTGTTTACTTAAAAATTATTTTTCTTAAAAAATGATGGTTTAATTTGATATTGAACCATTGTCAAAGAAAGATAAAAATATTTTTAAAAAAGTGAGATAGAGTACGTAAAAGTTTGAGTTCAGCTTATTAAAGTATCATTTTTAATACCCAGAAAGAAAATATTTTGTCTTCAAAATTTAAACCATAAATGAAAACAAAAATTAATTTTATAGATAAAATAGGATTCTAATTCAGCAAAAGTTATCTTTTGTATAAGTTTATTTTTTATAAGTAAGCATTTCTTTTTTTTTGTATAAAAACAAAAGAATAACACTAATTATTTTAAATTAAAATTTATTGAAGTGTGAGTTCAATTAAAAATGGGGGAAAAGAGCAACTGTTTTACTGTAAATCCGTAAAAGTGGTTTCACCTCTTCAAGACTAGTTGTGCAGGGAAGCTGTAGTGATGATTCTCCTGAGATGTTTTGAATGTAACTATCTTTGATATTAATTTTTTTTTCTATTTTTAAAATGAATGAATAAATATGTATATTTCACAGTTTTCATTTTGAATAAAATATATTTGTTTTTTCAAAATTGTTTGTGTTTTCCTGAATTTTTAATAAATATCTATTACGAAATAGTAGATATCACTTTGACAAAATGATCTCTTCACATTGTGTTCTTTAATATCTGTTATCTTTGGGAGAGCATGTGTTTCCTTCTGTGGAAAAACTCAGAAGGTGTCACTTAAGACTTCTAATTAAGAAAAAATTGTTATTATGATAAAACAACTGTTATCACAATTAACTTTTTGTACGCATTTTTTGCATTCAAATTTTGTTTTGTGTGCATTTATTTGTAACCTTATTTTCATGCAATGTCTTTTCAGCTGTCTTCATTTATTATCTTCATTTGAGTTCAATTTCAGAGAACTAATGTATTTTTAAAGGGAAGAAAATTTTCAACATATTTCTTTCAAAAATCTGCTCTTATATTCGTAATAATCATGTTAATAAGTCTAACATTTTAAAAAAATTATTCCCTCAAGATTAATGCATGATTTAGTCATAATTTTACATGTAATTTTTGACTATTATTTCTTTAAAAAAATTCGGAATTAAAAATAGGTTTTTGTTTTTTTAAAATTGATTACATGTTTTGAAGATTAAGAATATATTTGAAACATATTTTTAATGGATATTATTTTTTTCAAATGTATTTTAAATTTTCCTTTCCTTAGAATTAAGCTGATATGTCGATCACACGTACTATAAATGAGTATTTTGATTCAAAAGATGGTACACTTGTAACTTATCATAAATTTGAAAGAAAAAATTAACTAAAAATTATGCTTTAAATGCATATATTGTAACATTTTTAGATACATTACGCATCTTTAAAATAAATTTTTTTCCCTTAATCTAAAACCCTTATAACACAATAATTAAAAACAACAATTTGTATTTTACAAAAAATTAATTTATATGGCCACAAAGGAATGGCTAGTCACTTTGAGTATGGGGGTTTATAATCAGGTACAGAATATTTTAGTACTAACAATTAACTAATGGCAAATTATATTTAAAATCTTTAAAATTATTTGAGGCAAGTAGTTTCTTTTGCTTTTTAGTCTATATATAAAGGTAATGTTGGCTATTGTATAAATTCTGAGAACTTTTGATAAAAAAGATAATAACCAAATTAAATAGTAATTAAACATTACGAGTGTTTCATACTATCATTCTACAATTTTTTCTTTTAAATATTTTATGTATTATTTTATTCTTAACAATAAGTAAATATACACCCTCTCTCTTATCGTTATTTAGCATAACTCACCCTGAAGAATTTCAGCACAAATAAATTTGATGAGCAGTTAGAAATTGTGTACTTTTTCTAATTTTTGTTTAAAAAATTTGCACAATAAGATTTGAAGTTAAAGCTACACAGTACCCTTAGAATGACTAATTTATCGAAAATATTTTTTTTTGCATTTTCCTGTAGCCCATACGATTGGGAATCTTGGTCGAAAATTTTAGATCTAATAAACAATTAGTTTTTAAGATATTTGAAGTTTTCTTAGTGTTGTCAGTCACTATATTAGACAGCCTTTACAAACTTTAAATGCACTTTTCTCAGACTTTTTTTTTTTGAAGATGTAAGTGTTTTCTAATCCCTAAGGCGTTTTGTCTGTTCAAGATAGAGTCTTGAAATTTTTTATGGATACTTAGAATATGTGTGTTCTATAAAAGTTAGTATGGATTTAGGTCTGGGATCTCTAGTTATTTTTTTAAAAAATGTTAAAGTTAATTTTTAAAATTTTTCGTGTTTTTTCCAAGTTTAGCTAGAAAAATAATTATTAAAAATTAACAAGGAAACAAATTTACAAATCCATACTAACTTTTGTTTGAAATAATATAAGAAATATAAATCACAAAAAATAATTAAAAAATTTCAAAAATTGTGTATTTTATAAGAATTTAAAAAACTTCAAAAATTTTAAATTTTTAAATAAGGGCTTGTTAAAATGATTTTTTATTTTCAGAATCAGTTTAATAATATAGTCTGAAAACAATACATAAATTACTTTTAATATTACTGTCCCCCAAATTTTTTTTGAAAAAGGGTACTTTGTAGTCTTAATATCTCAGATGATGGAACTGTTTACTCAAATATAGGTCACACATATATCATAATTTATTGTCATATATACAACTGCCACTCTTCCATTATAGGGGTGAGTGACGCTGACTTCGGCATTGTAGGGCCTGGGTTCGAATCCCGGAGAAGGCATGAATATTTGTATTGCAATCCTTCATGACATTAAATTCCGTCTTCCTTTGTGATGTGTGCTTCATGCTTATTTCTCTACGTCCCCATGTGGTACTTTGTGGTGCACGGGGATAAATGTTCTCAATAAAATATATATAAATATAATGACTCCCTATAGTATATTTTTTAATTTAATTCCTTTCAAATATTTTCTAATTCTTTGGTACAAGACTAATGCGGTAATCTTAATCTTAATCTAATTGCTCCCACGCGTTTGCAACCAATCACGGCTCCCGTTAGAAAGGAGTCGCGCGGCCTTCACCTCTAGTATATAAACCCAGAGCTCTGTGTGATCTCTTTTTGTTTTTTGTCTGCTCGCCAACAACATGTCCTCGTCGCTGATGCTTGTTGCTTCTGCTACGTGTTTGTGTGCGTTCATATCAATTAATTATTCCAAAAAGAAGATTAAAACCAAAAAAGAGATAGTTCTCTATTTATCACGAAATAAACATTGGCAAATCTACGTACAAGTAACCAACAGAAATAGGCATTTTGACTACGCTATTATATATATATATATATAATGTATATATACACTACTGAACACAATAAAAATATTTGAAATAGAAAATTTAATATTTAATTAATTAATTTTGATTCTTAGCATTAAATATTAATTGTAAATTTACATATATTTAAAAATATTTTACTATACAGTTTCTTGAAAAAACATTTGAAATGAGAGAGAGAGAGAGAGAGAGAGAGAGAAACTCTTACATATGCAGTTCTTAAACCCATTTTCAATTAAAATAAACATCAGAAAACATTTAAAGTCGTTAAATAAGTATCAGTAATTTAATTAGTATGTCTCAATTTTGGTTGTGTTTTAAGAATTCATCGGGTTAGTATGAAGGAACAGGATGAAATAAATAAAGGATGGAAAAAATTGTGATGTTCGGAATGATTGCAATCTGCGCAACGATCATTAAACCTTGTAACTAATCAGAAAAGTATGTTCCTCTTTTTTTAAAGCTAACTGCAATAATTAAACTTTTATGGTTTAACTAAATTTTCTGCGCTTTCTCCCTTCACGGATACCTGTGTTATGTACTTCAATTTCCCTTTGCTATTAGTAATTTTTATTGAAAATTCATGTTCTTATCTATAGAAATAAATACATATTTATGATGTCAATGATGAAAAATTTAATTAAAAGTTGGATACTAAAATTAATGAATTGAGTTAAAAAATCAATATCCAGTAAGTTTGGAAATGACACAATTTTTGTTATAACAAACTGATTTACTGTTAAGTTTGGAAATGACAAAAATTGATGCTATTTTTGGAATTTGGTTTTATTAAAAATTACTGTTTGGCTATATTAAGCATGATATGTTACTTGGCTTAAATCCAGATAAAGTATTATTCATTCACGCTTGTAGTTCTCGTGCATGATCAGTAAAAGGAAAATGAAAACTCAATTTATCTTTATCAGTCCGGTTATTTAAATTCTGCTATATATAAAAACAACCCGATGTGTATAAAGACATGTGTTTTAAAATGTAAGCAAATTCGTTTAATATTTCAGACACTGGCCGATATTTTTAAAAAAAATGTTTAAAATTATAAGTTGCAAAAAATACTATTACTGAGAATGCTTTACAATTTGTTAATGTTACTGTTTAAATTTATTTTATTTACTGCATGCGACTACATACAAGGTGTGATAAAAAACGAGACTAAGTATTTAGCTTAAAAAAGAGTGGAGTTGGCAACAACTGTTTAGGTGATGTCATTCCACGCACCTCCTCCATCCATGTGGCCAGTTTCACCTCAATACATCACGCCAATTGCTAATACTGCGTGAATGAGGGAACACATGCAAATGCCATTCTGCAGGAAAACTATAGAATCAACATCAAGTTTCTTATGAAGCTTAGGAAATTAAACACGAAAACATTTAAAATATTATCGAGGCTTATGGAGAAGAAACTTTGTCTCGTGCACATGTGTTTGGATGGTATAAGAGGTTTTCAGGAAGAAGGGTTAGTGTGGAAGATGATGAACCTGCTCGACGTCCAAGGTCACCGATTACAGACCAAACATTGCTAAAATTCGTTATATGAGTGGTTCCCACTCACATATGTGGTCAGACTATTAATCAACACTATTACATTAAAGTACTACAAAGACTTCGTGAAAAAATTAGGAAAAAAGTGCCAGAACTGGGGAGTGAGTAATGGATGGCTGTTGCATCTAAATAATGCATCCGCTCACATGGCCCTATCTATCAAGCAGTTTCTGACCAGCAAAAACATTACTGTGATGGAGCATCCTCCTATTTCATCTGATTTGGCCCCATGCGACTTTTTTTTATTTCGTACTGTGATATCTTGCTGTAAGGGAACTCATTTTACCTCAGTTGAAGAGGTTTAGATAAAAACGAAAAATCTCCCAATGTTACTTCCAAAAACCTCATTCCAGAACTGTTACTAGCAATGGCAGCACCGAATGCAGAAGTGTGTGGAGGAACTACTTTGAAGATGATACTATCAAGGAGAGCTGATTCTGTAAGTACTATGATTTATATTGAACCAGTCTCATTTTCTTGTGTGTCACACCTTGTACATGTCTTACCAACTACAGAGAACTTTTGAGACAGTATATTTTTCAGGTCAATATATGTTAGAATACTTTTGCTTTATACTTTGCATTTATTTTAATATTCCACAATTAAGACGAAATGCTTTTGTAGGCTTTTATTTAAAAAATACTTTAAATTTTGACGAAGCGATTTTTTATTACAAAAACACAATGCACTTTTTAATTAATTTTAAATATAATGTATTACATTAATTTGTTTTTTTTTGTCACTTAAATGCTATATTAAAAAATTCTTCAACTGAAACAATATATTTATATAAATATTCTTTGTAAAGAGCCGTAGAAAATATTTGTAACTATATTGGATTAAAACTATATTATTTATTCTTAATTATTGTTCTTGGTTTTTCAACAAACATTTATTTCAATTTAAGCATTTATATCCTAAAATAATTTTTTCGATATTTCTTAAAAATAATTCTTATTTATATATTTATTAATGTCTTGAGTGAATTACTAGGAATATCTTTCTCTGTATCTCTCTCCCTCCCCACCCCCTTTCTCCCCTCTCTTTCACACCTCTTTCTCTCACAGACATGCACACACAAAAATCGTATAGAGGGGTTGATGCACTTTAAATACACTCATGTCCATAAATCAAGGATAATTCAGAATCATACAGAAATTGAACTCTAAAATAAAAATTTCACCTGTAGAATTATCACACACATCTTGAAGAAGAATATGTAAATTGCAGAAAACCACCAGATGGCGCAGATAGTACGTCACAATGACGAGAGTGTAAGAGAGGGGTATATAAGGAACGGTGGCAAAGAAGTAAAATTGTTCACAAGCGCTTTAAAAGCCTTTCAGTGCAATAACCGCATAGTTATGGCACAAAGGAAGCATTTGGATGATTTTTTACGTGGTAGAATTATCGAGGAACTTGGAATCGCCCAGAGTGTCATCTCCAGGCTTTGGCAACGATTCCAAGATGATGGCAATGTGAGTAGCAGTTACAACACAGGTCGCCCCCGAGTTACAACGCCGAATGAGGACCGGTATTTGGCAGTTACTGCCAAAAGAAACAGACGGGGCACAGCATCAGACCTATCTCGTCAGCTCTCTTCAGCTACCGGTACGACAGTTTCAAGGCAGACCGTGTACAGACGCTTAGGGCACATTGGTCTATATGCTCGTAGGCCTGTCGGATGTGTTCCCCTTGCCGCAACTCACTGTCACCTGCGATTAACCTGGAGTAGAGAGCATGCATTGTGGACACCGCAACAGTGGTCTTGTGTGATGTTTTTCGACGAGTTCAGGTTTAGTTTGCTGTCTGATTCTCACCGGACTTTCATATGGACAGCGCCAGGTACCCGTTACCACCAAGAGAACACCATTAAACGACACCGTTACGGTGGTGCAGGATGGCTCGTTTGGGGAGGAATTATTCTTGGTTCCAGAACTGACCTGCATGTTCAGAGTGTAACGATGACAGGCCACATCTATCGGGATGTCATTCTGGAACAACATGTACGTTTGTATCGGGGCGCCCTGGGTGCTGAATTTCTGTTTATGAATGACAACGCCCGTCCTCACCGTGTAAACATTGTAGACGAATGCCTTCAATCGGAGGATATCACCCGTATGGATTGGCCAGCATATTTACCGGACTTGAATCCAATAGAGCATGTGTGGGATATGCTTGGCCGACGAATTGCAGCCCGTCCACCCCCTCCCACCTGTCTACCGGAACGTCGGAGGGCATTGCTTGATGAGTGGTGTAATATTCGCCACGTTCAGATTGATAATTTGATACTCAGCATGCGTAGGCGTTGTAAGGCCTGTATTGCATCGTCCGGGAGACATACTCCGTATTAACCATCATACTAACCATGTTATACTTTTTTTTAAAATAGTTTTTTCTTTAAATTTGCTCCAGGGAGTAAAAATCGCAATTTTTATTAATTATGTCATACATATAGAATCTTTTTTGCTCTTTACCTTTTGTTTAATAAATAGACTTTACAAATAAGTCAAATTTGTTTTGCTTATGTCTCTTTCTTTGCCTGAACTTCATTATCCTTAATTTATGGACATGAGTGTATGTCAGGGCTCAAAGTCTTTGCGTTGGGGGTGATGTGAAAGCTTAGAGAGTGACGAGCCATCTTAGAAGTCCTCGACCATGTCTCAAAATTACGAGGTCTCCGGCACCAAAAGTTCCTGCGTTACTTCGTAGTGTGACGCTTATAAACAAGCAATCACACACGCGCGTTTAACAATGAAGTTAATTTGCTGAGTTGATAGTTATATACGGGGTTATGTCAAAATAAATATAGGATTACAAACGGCTATGTCTATTTAATGGAAAAGAATTTACACAAAATAAAGCTCTGCTTAAACCGAAGAAAAAATTC